TCCTTGCGAATTTCTATATTAAATTTATTGTTTTGTAGATTTATATTAAAAAAGATCTAATCCTAATATCGAAAACGTTTTATACCTTGTTTTCAATAAACTAATTCAACCAATATACACATCAGCATCCGTAATTGCTTCAAACAGCCATTATCAACGTCATTATATTTTTTAATAAATATACGGTTTAGATTTTATCACGTGCTGTAAGTTTTAGGTCTGTGCATACTTGAAAGATCTGCCACATAAATTTCTATATGTATATTTTTATATTTACTTATTGTATTAGTGCATAGTAACTAATATGATAAAAATGAGATCATTATTCTTGTTTGTACAATTGTATTACCTGCATAAAAAAAAACATGTAATACAAAAAAAATATGTAGTACAAAAAGAAATATGTAAATACAATATTGAGTATTAGATATCATAATACACAGTTTTATTAAATCTCTTGTATATTATGTATTCTCTTTTATACTAATTGGATGTTTTGTTGGTCTGTCATATAGCGGTACAAACTTTCAACATACTGCCTACGGAAAACAGTATAATTATTGATTGGCAAAACACTTCGAATGTACGTACATATTTTGCTATTTATCTAACAGTAATTTTATATTCAATGGAGAATGTATTAAATGTTGCATGTATCAAATTAATATAAATTTGATTTTTTTCGTATACTAGCAAGTATTTTCATGTCCAGCACATTGGTATTATGTAACTCTCCAAAATGGAAATACAGGCGAGAATATTAGTAACTCAACAGTTATCACTTTTCCCCATGAAGTGTCGCATTTACCATCATATACTCTTTTTAACGTGATTGTAATTCATCCGCAACTTGCTCATACAATCATAAAACATAGGAATTACCTGTTCCTTACTCAAATTCGTACATTACGAAGAGGTAAGTTTTTATGATAACTAAAGTACAGTAAACAACTTTTACAAACATATATTTCATATATTATAAGTATGTTTTTCTAATATCTGTATTTAATAAATATCATTAGTTTCAACGAAAGTATTAGATATTCAATATGTTGCGAACTCAAGCACACAAGTCACTTTGAAATGGAACTCTCCAGATGACTTAACCATAGTGCTGTACAAAATAACATTAAAGGTAACTTTATGTAACTTGTAGTTATACGTGTTCCAATATCGACATATATGTAATCATCTTTGTTTTTTAGATATTACTTCGAGTGTTTCTTAGACGCGTTATATTTTTGTCATATTATAATTAAATAATACAATATTGTTTTTCTATATCTTATTGTATCAGTCAATTATATTATAGAAATATTGTTCAAGATGTTGTAGCGTGTACATTGTTTAAGCTCGCTTGTTCTTATTTTTCCAAGTTATTGTACTGATAAAGTATCTTTCTGATATTTGATACCGCTGTGTGTTGCATTAATGTCTAAAAATAATAGTTGGGTTTGAACCGCGTTAGTGTCACTTTTATACTTACATTTCGTGAACATTTCATCAGTTTACTTTATCAGAGTCTCAAAAGTAGCTTGATATTGAAGTGCACTTGGCCAAGTGTCATTGGTTTTAGCGCTAAGTTACAGAAGAGATAAAGTGTGTGGTATGGTAAAATTTAATGTTTTCTTTTACAATTGCTTCTTTACAAATTTATTGTTAACGTAATATACATTGTAGAGAGTATAGGTAATAGAAACGATTTTTTCGACTTTCTTAAAATGGTACAATATTTCTCCTGATTTTTGTACATAAAACTAAAGTTTTAATTGCATTATTTAAATGAGAAAGCTATTAATACTGCTATTTACCGTAATCATGTTTCTTCCTTTTAGATTATTTTGTACTATGGTTGTGTAGATTTAAATTTACCTACACCAGTAGTACCACCTATTGAACACGTTACAATCAAAC